CTGTGTGCTGCCAGCCCATCTGCTGCCGCCCCAGGTGCTGTGAGTCCAGCTGCTGCCGCCCCAGATGTTGCATCTCCAGCTGCCAGCCCATCTGCTGCCGCCCCAGGTGCTGTGAGTCCAGCTGCTGCCGCCCCAGATGTTGCATCTCCAGCTGCCAGCCCCAAGCTTGCTGATGCTCCAGCAACTCTGGTTCCAGCTGCTGCCACCCTCTTGCTGCATCTCCAGCTGCTGCTGCTGCCCCTGCTGCTTCTGCACCCAGTCTGTGGCCAGGTCTCCTGCCACACCACTTGCTATCGCCCCACCTGTGTCATCTCCACCTGCCCCCGCCCCATGTGCTGTGCCTCCTCTTGCTGCTAATGCCCTGTGGCCATCGTCTCTGTTACCCTCCGACTCCACAGATATAGACCCACCTACTGTGCTGACTCTTAGGACACATGGAATGGGGTTGATGTTGCCATATGAATTGGGCTTCGTGTGATGCCAGTGAGGAAGCCGGCCATGCTACTGAAGAAGATGGGTATGGCCGGGAGCACTTCTATAGTAACAGATTTTACCCTCCCACCTGACCATCGTAAATCATCCTGCTAACTTCCTTTTTATAGGACTTTTCTGTAACCTAGTCTATTTCTGTGCTAAAATAAAGTCATCTTTCCCTGCATTAAAGAAATTCAGTGTGATTTGCATTCCTTTAAGATTTTGTCTTCAGGTCCTAGACAAGTGTATGTGACCTACACCTGCAGGACACACAACATGGTCTTGTCACTTCTCAATGCAAGATTTCATTATTCACTGCCTGATTCTTTCCTAGGTGCCTCCCAATTCCATGGGCAGACCATCCAACACTACCTATGTGACCTAAGAGAAGAACAAAAAAGGGAAAAGTAGAAATTTGGTGGACTCCATGTACATAAAAGGAAAAAGAACCCAGTGTATGGTTCATGCATCACGGCAGCTACCATAGGTGGCAATGTGCTGTTAATCACAGTCTGCAAGTTTATATTCAGACTTGCAAACCAAGTGAGCCCACTGCTGCCCCTTCTGATAGGAAAGTTTCAAAAACATATATACTCAAAGGACACACAGGTGACCTAGATGAGTGAAGCAGGTCCTGATAAGGCAAGGTTTGGTGGAAGTTAGCAAACTGCAGACAGCCTGACCACATCTGTGAGTAGAACTGTGCTCCTGTCAATTGTTTCTATGGGGAAATGTGAGCCAATGCCTTGTCACTGAAAAGTTGAGTCTGCTTTCATTGATCTTTCCAGATGCCAATCATTTCGTTCACGCATTTAAAAAGTATTTTTTGAGCATTTATTATGTGGGAAACACTGCAAAAGGCACAAGGGTGACTGGGGGAAACAACACACAAGGACGCTGGGCAGTAATGGAGCTGATTCTCTATGGCGTTTCTCTAGAAAAATCACCCTTTGATGTCTTAAATATTTTTCTATACATTTGTCCCCCTGGCTTGTGCACAGTATTTTTCTCTGTGCTTTTTATATGAATAAGATTAGCTTTAGGAACCCCGTTCAGAGACAGGTAGCTGTGATACAAATGGGGACACAGTAATCAAAAGGACAGTTTTACTAATGATGACAGTTTTACCCTTTAACCCCAGTGTCCCACTAAAGCTGCCTAGTTTGGAGAGGCAGCTAGAGGGGCAGGCTCAGTGATAAGGAGTAGAATGGAGATACATCATCAGTTATTTACTTGGGGGGAGAACTAAACTATAGTTGGGCTTCCCCACTACCAGAAATTCCTGACACTAAGAAGTGAAGTTGCACAAGACATAAGGTCAGTGTACATAAACTAATTGTATTTTATATACTAGCTGCCAATAATTACACAATTAAATTTAAATAAAGGCAATTCCATTTATATGTAGACATAGTAAAATTACCAAAAAATGGAGGGAAAAGAGACAGATTATGTAAGGTAGAAAAATTTTGCCAGTTGCCAATGGGGATTGACTAAGAGTTCCAAGTTTGATTCTAAGGCAGTGCTGGATGAAGAAATAATTAGGTAATTTTAGTATTTTTGAAAGTAGAGAAATAACTGAGTAGCCAAACATTTGGGCTCCTAGGGTATTATACAAACATATTTATACAATGGTAACAATTAGTACAAAATACAAGCCTTCTTAAATAGGGAGACACATTAAGAGAGTGAGAAAGAAAGAAAATTTAACAAATAGTAAAAGATTAGATGAAGACATAGAAATAGAGATGTATATATTTAAAATATACATAATATAAAATACATAATTCACCATATGTATATATCACTATTCATGATATTACATCCATAACTATACATTATGTTATAGATATCACTCTCTCTATTGTATACAATAAACACTAGATAACTCAAGTCAAGCATATTGATCAATTGCCCACACTAATACATGTAATACGCTAAAGAAATTACATTCTGTCCACAGATGGACTACTTTGTGGCTGAGGATGGAATCAAGAATATCAAACACACTATGGTGAAGGAATCTCTGGGATAACTTGTTGAGCGAGAACAAGGAAGTTGGAGCCAAGTGTGTATGGTAGACAACTATTTAAGAAACATAGACACAAATATGCAAAAAAATTATATTTAAAATAGCAATGAGGAGGAAAACACTAAAGTACAAGAAGAAGGCTGCATGAGGGAGCAAGGAAACGCATGAAAGGAACAGGAATAGGAACATGACTTCCTTGAGTAGGAATCTGACTTTGTAGAACTTCTCTTGGAACCATAAGTACTTTGCATAACCACAAAACAAAATCTAAATTCAAAAGTTGATTCCTAGACATAAAAAGAAAAACTGACAGCGTTCAAGTGTTCATCTCAGGGGTTTACAGTTGGAACGAGACAGGTTGTAGTCGGATGTGAAGGTCGGAGTGTTCCAGATGTGATTGATATCAGGCAGAAAGGAGGAGAAGATGAAGTTTGTTTGTCTGTTTTTGAAGTATGCCAGGGAAAACCATAGGAAAGGAGGAGGCTTCTGAGCTGGAACTTAAACGAAAAATACGTTGCAGAGTAGATGTGAGTGAAAGGATTCTCTAAGGACTTACAACAGCACAATGAAAGGTGTGGAGTAAGTACTGTCGACACGTCGTAGACTGTTATAGGATTTAACAACCATAATTAACTTCCATGTGAGCTGTTGGAGCACAGCAAGGACCTCATGGCTTCCATCAGAAGACAATCAAGACAGCGACTAGAGATCATTCAGCAGAGTATCGGGCACGTGGCCAGCACTCACACATAGTAGCCATCTACATTATCTCATTTTCCACTGAGAGCACAGAGGACTTAAGTACATAATGCTCGTTTTGGATATGAATTAATTAAAATTACTGAAACAGTACCAGAAAGAGATGCTTGGAATAAAAACTTCTATATAGTACAAAATCCATTGATCTGTCAGCTTATCAAAAGACAGGTCCAACACACTCACCTTTAGCATATACTGTGTGGAGAAGATTCCTGGGGGTATAAGTTCATCTGTGTACATGGTTCTTACCACCCTAAAGGAAAAACTAATAGCTAACTCTTGGGGTTGGCATCACAGTGAGATTGGACCATCCTTTGTAACCCCTGATTCTCTAATCATCCAGGAAACACATCCAGTCTCCCCTCATTGTACAAAAGCACACTGTCAACAAGCCTCAATCCAAATCACAGTCTCCCCACATTGTACACAGAACCCAATGATGAGTCTTTCCTCCTACTTCCTTATCAACATTCCACCTGTCAGTAGTATGCATTTTCCCCACTTTGACATAAAAAGAGATTTGGCATGGTGATAGCCACTCTCAAAGGATTGTCATGGAGTCATACAC